GATCTTCTTTATGCACCAAGAGCTTGTAACACTCCAAAGAGAAAGGAAAAATTGAAATCGCATCATATGACCCCTTTAAAACATTTTTTCAAGGTCTGTGTTCATGCATATCTGTGTGAATGACAATGGAAAATGTAATGCTGGTAACATGCAACAGGAATGCCAAACTTTGGAATGAATAATGTGAATGACTCTTACCTTCAGGGTCAGATAGTGTAACGCCACAGCGAGGGATGTTGGTGCAGAATGCCACAGGTACATTGGGGTCAGTCGTGAAGCACCATGGGAGATGTCGACCATCAGGATTCCTACAGTAGTTCTCCCGGAGATCCCTGCAGCGCAGATGCGTACATTTAATCATATATACACATCACACATCTAGTGTTACAGAGCATATGCTGAACAGACTGAGACTGATCTTAAAAACTACAGGTTTTGAAGAATTATCTGCAGTTTTTTTAAATATAAACTTGTATGATGACAGATAACAGTCTGGGAGAAGAAACATTTAGGTTAGATTTTCCTAGTGATGACAGAATGGAACCAGCATACCTGGTGAACATATGTATTTTTGCGCAATATATCAGAACTGGTTACATATACAGTATAAAAACAATTTATGATTTTTGTTGTATTTAATTTGACACTGGATATTTATCAGTCGATACTGGAACTTTTATTTTGCATGTTCATCTTAAAATTTTATTTTATTTTTATTTTATTTCATTTGTTAGCTGTGTTTGTCCAAGCAAAACTTTTATTTTCTTCCTTAGATTTGATTCGGGTTCCTCATTTAAAGGTATGTTCATGGAATTTTTTCACCCATTTTTATCATTTTTCATCTGTTGTGATGCCTAAATGTACTAAATGTTTTAGTCTTTCAATAAAAAGACCATCAAAGTTTGGCTGTGCATGTGCATAAAGCAAGGAAGTTCAGTCGACATCAATAAACATCAACATTTAAAGGCACAATATGTAAGATTTTTTTTATTAAAATATCCAAAAACCACTAAAACAGTGTTATATATTTTGCTGACTTGTGTACTTACATTACCCCAAATGTTTCGAAGAATGTTTAAATCCAGAGAAATAAGCAATTTTAACTAGTGACACGGACCGTGTCCATGGTGTCATTGTGTCGCCTGCCAATGATGTCATAACCCCTCGATTTCCGGTTTTGTTTTGTAGAAAACATGGAAACACCAAAGACGCTTTAATATGTTGTGCGTTTTAATAGACCGGTGACGACCGCACAGAGTAGCATTATAACAGAACTTTCAAATGTATCTAGTATGATAAAACAGCGCTGCTTTTTTTTCCCCTCATACACACGACCGGAAGGAGCGGAAGCGGTCGACTGTGGCATAATAAAAGCTCCACTGCTTTCGAGCTGTGTGTCACGCTCGTTCAGCGGCCTCGTTTCGCTTCGACAGCTTTCAGCCTCACCCTGCTTCATTCTACTATGTTAATAAATCATTAGCTCATCCATGAACATGATTTCTGCCCGAGTCCCGTCGGATTGCATCGGCTGTGGGGATGAAGACGACAACTCCCATGATTCCACACTCAGTCACGGCGTCATCAAACTACGCCTTTGTCTCTTTGTTTATTTTGAATACGCGCCCTCCAGCGGCGAAAATTACATACTGTGCCTTTAATGCATATGTTTTAGGAGCATTTTCTTACTTGCAACGGTAATTCTTTGCAATATATGACTGTCGATGGGGAACTGGGCGTCAGAACTGGTTACTTACATATATAAAAATAATGTCTGTAATTTTTGTATTTAGGTTGATAATGAATATTTATCAGTCAGTATTGAATATTTTATTTTGCATGTTCATTTTAGTTTATTTTTTGACTGTGCTTGCCACCCTCCTCTCTCTCTTCTCACATTCCTGTGAGGGTCCCAAACGAAAGGGGAGCCAGGGCTACAGGAAGAGGAAGTTGTAAATTTGGCAAACTCTGCCTCTTTTCATTCTCTTTCTCTCTGGCTTCTTTTTGTTCTTCTCTCTGTCTCTTCATCTTACACATAAGATGCAGAAGCGCACACTCACCGCACTGTTTGATGTTACAGTACTCCCATGGAGTGCTCGGATCGGTGGTGAAACACCAGGGTCTCTGGCGCCCATCTGGGTTCCTGCAGTAGTTGTCCTTTAGACCTTTATCGGGGTATCTGTCATAAGAAGGGCAAAACGAACACACTTAACACGCCACATATCAACTATCCTGGTTCTACGGAAACTTTGATTTATAGGCGGGATAAAATTCTAATAACCTCCAGAAAATACACAACATGCTCTCTGCTACTGGTACAACAGGACCTCTTAGGTAAAGCGCACAAGACAGAAGCTCATCACTCTGCATACATGTAAAGACTCATAGTTATACAGGTCACTTTTTTTTTCTTTCAATTTTTAGTTTTCCACTATTAGTAAATTTTGAATAGTAGTATACAGGTGCATCTCAATAAATTAGAATGTCATGGAAAAGTTCATTTATTTCAGTAATTCAACTCAAATTGAACTTTGTCTATAATCTGAGACTGTTTGTGGCACACTCGTCATGTAAAGGGTGAAGAGCTTCTGTCTTGTAATATTCAAAGGGTTTTTATGGTTGCTTGAAGACATCATAGACAATTTGCCTCTTTGGTAGGTTCACACAAAGCAGTCATTTGATTTAGTGATTTATATCAAACAGGGGCATGAATGATTTTCATTTTTAGGTAAACTATCCTTTTAATGTAAGTCTATGGATTTTGTGTCTGCCAGGTGCAAAACCATAACTTTCATCACTTAGAAAAGTAACTGCACACCTTTTTGCAATAAGCCGCATGATTTTAGATATCATCAGTAGTACCCAACAGGCGAACGAAAGAGATTTGCATTTTTCTAAGTATGCCATATTAGCCAAGCCTCTCAAATTGATTGAAAATCCTAACTTGAAGTCAGTCTGACTGAAGTTGTCTCTTACTGTTTGCATTTTCTGGTAGGTCTCATACCTTTTAAGGTGGAAAAGGTGTTTTTGTGGTTCATCAAGGTCCCAGCGCTGGCATTCCCGGCCGCTCTCCGTGTGGTCCAATGGTCCACGGTAACTTTCTCCATTACACGTCATACATTCCACTATGGATAACGAACATGGCTGGTAAGAATTTTAACCAGGACAAGGCCCAAAAGAGTCCAGCTGAGCGACATTAGCATGCTTGTAGAGGATGACTCAAGTTCAACAGGGTTCAACCTTGGCTGTCATGTTAAACGGTTAGACGACTGCAACTGTGGCCGAATCCTGGTAGTAAATTAGTGCACATGTTTGTTACGCATAGACTAATCACTGACGATTAATGACTGCAGGGATTGTAATCGCATTTATCAAGAAGACAAGCAATTACGGAGCCACATGTGACCCTCAGATTGTCTAAAAATAAATAATCTGATGCTTCAATTTACTAGGCAGACGTACCACCCATTAGGCCTTGCTTTTAACCCCAAATGTAAGTTGCAGCTTCTAAAAGATTTTGTACGATCAAAGGTTAAAGCAACATGTAATTATTACAGTACTTAGTAAAGAGCTTAGTTACTGTAGGATCAAACCAAATATCACAGCAGATGGGGGTCACCTCAGCTAGAGTCATCTCTCTAAATCGTGTTATTAGGTGTACAGTACACACAGTATAAGGAGCAGATTGCTGTAGTAGAAACAGATGTTAATGTCAGCCACTCTCATGAAAGCATGATTTTCCTTCCTTGTGTTTGTGTGTGTTTTTGACTATGGGAAACTAATTTATTAACAAACCCTCCCAGCCATATTTCATCATGCAACTCTTCGAATAGACAAGAGGATCTCTTTGTTGGCCTGATCGCTATCTCTGCAGAAAACCCCTTTTTATGCATGCAACTCAACGTGATCTCCTATTAATGAAAATCTCCAGTCACCCCAACAATCAAGCGCTTTCATTCTCCATCAATAGATAAAGTCTTGAATCTAATAAATGAACAATTCACATTAAAAAGGTGTTTTTAAAGGACTGAAAATCAATGCAAACCAAGTGCTCATATTAACAGTCAACTGAGAACAAATGGAGACTTTTGAAATCGCCCGGTGAAAAAACATGCTCAGTTTTGCCAAGAAACTGTTTACCATTAAATGTCAGAGATTTAAATTTGAAATTTTCAACGATTTTCAAATTTCAGTAATTCATATCTTAAAGACCAAATGATCTTAATAATACTGACATTCATTTCATAGCTCTATATTCTTACATTATGTCAACAGTCAGTTGTACTAAATCATTTTAGTACAAATATCTAAAAAAAAAACAATTAAAAGCTATAAAAGAGCATACTGTGAACAATAAAATACAAAAGGTTGCTGGTCTTGGACTCACCTTCCGAGCATTGTGGGATGCTGCAGTCCTGGTGCCGTATTTTGGGGTCTGTGGTAAAGCACCAAGGACCTGTTGTGGTGTTGTCTGGATTACGACATAAATTCTCCCGTAGATCTCTGTGCTTGTGCCTCAGGGGTAAGAAACTAATGGAGTGAGAAGAAAACACGAAACAGAAGTGATGTTTGTGAATCATACACAAGCAAAATTGCTCCAAATTTCTTGAACAACATACTGTTACTCTTTGACACATTACTTGACATTTTTAGCTGCAGAGTGAGGTTTAATTATCTTTTATTGATGTTAGCAATTCTTTGCAATTATTAGCTTTTTTGTCTTTTTATTACAATAACATCTGATACTACAACTGAACTAAGAATCACAAATTTAACTGGATGTCATATGACACAGTTGTGACTTCCAGCCAAATCTCAACAACTTATATATATTAATAAGAGTGGCATGACTAACACTATCTTCAACATCAGAGTACAGCTGCTACTCTACATTTCATTGTGATGCAAGAGCTTAGCATGCATGTGGCTCTGGGGAAATTTTTGCATCTTTATTTTTTTCTTATTACTTATAGAAAAAGTAAAAAGGTTGAATCTTAAAACAACAAATGAATGTAGTTAAATAATGATTTTGGCAAGCGAATGGGGTAGTGTAAAGCCTTTGGTCAGACAAGGTCAAAAACTGCACAGTGCTTGAGTTAGAGTACGCTCATTATGAGCATTGTTGTTTTATTAGCATTTTACTTTGGCTATTTGAATGTTATGAAAGCAGCATCACACAAAAACAAATGTTTTTGGCTACCAATGCCATTACAGAACTACACATTTATCTTTCATCTAATAATCCATTTATTCTGAAACCAAAATCTTCTCAAATTAATGGGTTATCGCAATAAAGTTAAGAGTTAGTATATGTGACATGGTGACCACCATGATGGGATGACCCATTCCATATAGACCAATACAGGCCACAATTATGACTGGAATATTTATTTAAAACCTATTTTTTTATGTACTATTTCTTTATGGTAAAACTCTGAGATGCCGCTAATGCAAAGAGTTTCAAAAAGTATTTTACCCTTGCCATGCAAATATTTGTAAACCATTAATAAATCATTGCATTAAGCCAAAAGATAATTATCGTTTGTGTAATTGCCTCAGGCATTCACAACACAAATCAACCAAGTTCATGATGATTGATGAATACAGATAAAAATGCAATCTGTGACAAATTAGCTGACCTACAGGCCTGTGTGGTATTTCAGAACGTTCAGGTCCATTGTTTTTTTTTGAGCCGATAAAGCATGCCTGTGATGTTTCAGAGGCAAGCGTATCAAAAGCTGGCTTTACAACTGAACTGATGTCTATTAGAGAGATAAAAAGAGTTTAAGAAAAAAGAGGAGAGAGAGAGAGGGAAATATCTAGAGCGGGAAAGTTGGTGGTAAGGGTTCAAGGTCTCTGAAAGGTAATTACATTTTCAGGATTTAAGAAAAGTGCATAAAACTTCTGTAAAGGCCAAAAAATAGGGCAGATCTATCGTATCGACTTGCAGTACAGGAAGTAAATCGAAGCACCATGTGGTGTCCCTAATGAATTCCTGTAGCCGTAATGAACTCAAAGACGTGTTCTGCATTAGGTATCTTATCTTAGCTTTGTGCTGCTTTCTGTCAAACTCCCACTTATGCACAAACCCTCAAATCCTCTAAACATGACATCTGTTCCAGGCTTCATATGGCTTCTTGGTGTTTATTTTTAGATGTAAGTGTATACAAAAATTTATATTTTGGGGTAAACTTGCCCTGAAGTATTTATGCATAGGCATAATTGTAAACAAATGTCTATTTTTGGTCATGCAAGAACGGAAGCAATTGTTTGAAAATGTGCTGGCCGCTCATTGCCGTTCCTGTCATTGACCTAATTGTCTCTGTCGGCGCTCCACTTCTGAGAATCGTCGAGTTGCACTGACTGTCACACTTAGACTCAGCGAGAACCCTCTAACGAATCAAAGCCAGTGAGACAACATGCATAAAACTGCACATTCATCATCATTAGAGACTAATGGGGATTTTTACGACTCACAGAGTCTGTTTTGCCATTAGCTATCTAATAGCGTAATATGTGCATAAATAAATAAACTGAAACATACCAAGGAGATGTTAACAGCTATCTACACTCCACAAGACTTTTGATAGCCACAAAAATGCACATATTGGGTAATTGAGTTTAATTGCCCATAGAGAGAGAGACCAAACCAAGAATGGGAGTTAAAGAGGATGAGTAAGCACTCACTTGTGTTCATGCGGCGTTTTGGAATTCCAGAGTTGGCACTGGGCTCCACTCTTGGTCACCGATCTCTTTCCTTTGTAGTTGAGTCCATTGCCAATGATGCATTCTCTCATGAAGTCTAAAGGACAACAAACATTCAGACACACCTTAGGTTACATAATATTTATGTGCAAAAGTCAGATTCTGAAACTAAAAATAAAAAATAAAAAATAAAGACAAACCTATCATGCACTCATACACCTTTTGTAGTTTCTGAAGTCAGTTAGTTTTAAAACTATATTCTGAAATATTTAACCAAAGTGTGGTGTTGGTAACCCAGTGGGCAACTGATGTTGAAAAGACATCAAATTGACATCAAAATTGATGTCAAAAGGCAGGTGAAATATGCAAATCAAACTGACATCAAAAACTTGACATGACATTGATTTGATGTAAATTGAACATCAAAAATACTGGCCTACATATACAGTACATGAAACTAATTTCAGTGTGGAATTAACTACTTATTTTCACCCAATTACCACTGGAAGAAATTGCCATCCAAACTAAATTTAAAATGATGTTACAGCATTTTGATCAAGCCTTGGCTAATATTTGACATCTAATTGAAATCAAGGTGTCCGCTGGGAAGATTATTTAATGTTTTTCAAAAAAGAAGTCTCTTATGTTCACCAAGGTTGAATTTATTTAACCTAAAATACAGTAAAAACAGTAATAATATTGTGAAATATTATCACAATTAAAAAGAGCTGTTTCTGTTTTAACATATTTATTTATACATCTGTGATGGCAAAGCTATTTTTTTTTTATTTTACTCTAGTATTCAGTGTTAAATAATCCTTCAAAAACCATTCTAATGCTGTATGCTGAATTGGTGCATTTGTAATATTTTAAATGCCTTTACTGTCACTTTTGATCAACTGGCTGAATAAAAGAAAAAAAAATGACTGAACACAAAGTTTTCAACCAAGGTCGCTAAAAGTCTCTAAATGTCACTGTTGCACTTTGTTGTCAGCAGTAATACATACAGACAAGCAAAGTCAACAGAAGTCCCTGCCTGATCGTTGTGTTTCTGGGTCTGTATAAACATTTGATAAATGTCAAGTCTTAAGAACATCAATAGTTTTAGACTTCAGAAAATCTGCAGTACTGTTAGAAATAGCAGGGACAAACAGTGGGGTATTTACTTCCAGTGACTTAGAGTGAAAGTCATTTTGCTGTGTCATCCTTATCCTGGTGGTGGATCGATAGAACGAGAGTGTGTTTGCACGAGTGTGTCATCATCACATGGACACTGATCTCACATTTATTCACACTGAAACTTAATTAATCCTTAAGAGTCCAGTACTTGGCTAATGTTTGAGAACAGCTCTTCATATTATGAAACCCATCAGTGGAAGATTATGCCAGCATAAGCTTAACTCTAGATGTCTTTGAGATTTAAAAGGGTTTAAAAACAAATCATGCACCAGTATAGACATTTAGGTGCAATATCAGTTATAAGCATAAAAAAAAAAAAATCCTGATATGATGGATGATATCAGAAATCTATACTGTTTCAGAATTTAAACTAAAGCCAAATCTATGATTTTACATTCTGCAACAACAACAACAACAACACAAAATGTACACATAGGATTAAGATATTACACAGTAATAAGATTGCTAATGGTTTCATACTTTTGAAACCTGGTATAGAAAAATAGTAGTGCTTGAATTGGAAAAAAATGTGTATGCTTCTAATATTGGCTTAATTAGATAATTGTATAAGACACTGATATTGGTAGATGTTGATATGGTCAACGATGTCTCGTGCATCCCAATTAGATATGGCCTCGGGCCTAAAGAAAGTCAAACCCTGTAGAAATAAAGCAGGTTTTTTACCTTTCTTCTCATATAGATCAAAGTTGAAGTCATTCTCCATACGGACACCGACGGTGAGGCTGTCATAGGAGAGTAAATGACACTTTGCAGTTTTCTGATCAAAGTTGAATGCTCTGCAAATATATATAGCACATGTTAATCATATTAAATAATGTTAAGCATACAAAAACAAGAGGATGGTGACAAAAGAGATTTAATGTCATCACTTAATGTCTTCAGTAGATACTCTTATCATGTAAAGCGAAGCATAAAATAGCTATTGTTGTCAGATTTTTATATTTTGAAGTCAGGTGATGCCTCAAAAAATAAAGCATTGCAAGAGCTAAAGGTCAAATGTCATGCAACCTCATGCAATTTCTATCTACTAAGAGCTGCATTTTCTTTCTATGCAGAAGTAACCAGAGGTCATCGACCTGACACATCAAAATAGGAAATACTTGGACTGCTGATTTTCGATTTCCACTGGTGAAACAGATTCCAGCTGCTTCCTCTCACACTGTGCTGTACACAATTAGCTAATCCAATTCTATTTCAAATCAGACAGTTTCCAAGAGCAAACTGGGAGTGTGCTCCTTTTATTTAGACACGCTTCAGCTGTTTATGATTACGTGTAAGGTGGAGTGTCTTTGTGCTTTAACTTTTGTAGACCTCTGTACCTGCAGGTGAACTGGAGCTTCCTGTTGCGGCTACAGCGACGTGCACACTTTCCCACACTCATCTTGCGGCCTTTGGACATGTAGGACACATCAGGTGGCGTGACCAAGCGCACGGCATCAGTCTTCTGGTAGTCTTGTAGGGCATGCCTCTTCGATTCTGCCACACAGAACACACGTGTTAGAACAGAGAGAAGCGCCCAAACGTGTTTCATGACAGATGGCACGTGATTTTCTTTCTCTTAATCAGTAAGGCTGGTTATAAGCCTCATGGGAGAGGCTATAAAACAGAATATTAAATATGGAGCAAAAAAGGAACTAAGATGATGAAATTGTATTTCAACAACCCGCTTAGATCACAATAAGGATGTGCAAAACACATTTTCATAATCGACTAGACAGTTGGATGTCTACACATAACTAGTCTTTGTTAAATTAATATATTATCATTTTATCATTTAATCAACCTCATGTTGTTTTAAAGCAGCATGCATTTATTTCTTCGGCTGAACACAAGATATTTTGAAAAACATTTCATGACTTTCCTTGTGTAGACAAAAAAAGAATAAACACATCTTTTCCAAATATCCTCTTTTGAGTTCCATAGAAGAAAGAACGTCATAGATATTTGGAAAGACGTGAGGGTGAGTAAATGATGGTACAGTCTTCATTTTTGGGTAATCTATCCCTTTAAGGAAACCCTCTGTCCTGGTCAGACTAAACTTTTAGTCAGTGTTGCCAGGTTGACTGTTAACATGCTAAAATTCTCCCTTTAAATGAAACACAGCTAGAAGTATTACACTCACAAAGACCCTAGTTGTGCAACAACTTACTACTATAGTAAGGTCACAAATCGACTAGTCAGTTATGGTGTGGGTAGAATACTTATTGGATCATAACCTTATTGAGTTGTAACAGTAAGGGGAAAAAAATCATTTGCTATTAAAGGCAGTGGAGCAATAAATTAGCTTTATGTGTATAGCAGGATGCAAAGGCATCAATCACGGTCTGCTTTGGTGAGGTGGTGGAGAGAATTCTGAAGGCCAAAGAAATCTGGCTCTGATCCTTGTGTGCAGCACCAAACCTTCTCAAATCACCACCAGAGCCCATCCATGCCAGCTGCAGTCATTAAGAATTGAGTTATCTGTCAAGCACATGGTTAGAAAGCACCAATTTCACAGCCACAAACCACATTATGATATCAGGCATGTTTTGTGTGTGTGAAACAAGCCCTAAATTCTGATAGTAGACCAACCAAGGAACATTACACCCCGTCTAAGCTCTAAAACTGACCCAAAGCCAACAGTCATGCTCTTTGAAAAGACTCCAGCTCTTGACTAACTGAATATTATTAGAACGTAAGTCTGAACAGAACAACAAGCACCGAGGTTAGATAGGTTAGGTGGCTCAATATGCCTGAACAAAGGTTGTTACGCCCCATTATACAGAATGTATTACTATAAAATCAATAAAAACTAAGCTGTTCTAAACTTTGCGCAACCAACGAGCTACATGATCCTTCAATGTCACAGAAGTACTGCAGATTAGAAACGAAATGACTAAACACAGAATAATTAATAGGCTCTGTGCAATAAAGCGGTTTTGATTTCAAAAGAAGGGTTTCATAGTGCCACACTCCAACACTTCATCTCTCCCTTCGGCTCCATGCACACTGTCGGTGACGCATTTATCCAGATGTTTTGCAAAGCAACAGCCCACTCACCATGAATGTCAACATCTGTGAAGTTTTCCGTAGTGAAACTTCATACAATGTTTGGGAACTGTGACGCTTTTGATACATGTGTAATTCGAGTCAAGAACTACAATTTGATGGCATGTCCAATGTATTTCAATAGCTGAAAAATTAAACAATTGAAATTTATGAGATTAATAAAGATGAAAAAATAATGTATAGTTAGCACTGGTCTTCAAATTTGATTGGCTGAGGGATGTTCCAATATTGCTGATATACAGTCCAACAACATGTTTACTGTTTGTTTCACTTTGCTTGTCTGTGTTTGCAGAGATGTGACTTGGCTTCTTTTGGAACTACTGTACTTTTATTGGTGGGAAAAAAACTATACAAAAGAAGAAACATAAAGAAACTTTAAAGTCTGTGTGAACTGGAAGTTGCAACTGATTTTTTTTATTTATTTATATTGTGTTGTACTTCACAGTAAAATAAGAATATTGAATAATAAAAAAGAAGGCGGGGCCTGATTATAGCTCGCAACAGACTAAAGATTGGAGGAGGGAAGTTGTTAAGGATGTTCAGTCCAAGCCGTCAAACTGACATCATGAGAGAAGGAATGCCATGTCAAGCAAATTTCAGATTTTGACTAAAGATTATAAATAATTTTTATTTTTTATTTTTGTAGATTTAATTGCACATATAATTTTTCACCACAAGGCTAGTAATGTGTGCTAACAATGTAAACAGAGTTTATTTTGATTTCATGCAGACTTTAAATATCCTATACATATACTCAATGATAATGCAGTAAAAATGGACATATTTACATAATGTTATCCACAGTTATTAGATATATGCATATTGTAAATAATCTTTATCTTATAAGTAAACAGTGATTTTGAGAAAATAAACACATTTTAATTATATATTATTAATGTTTTATCAAACAATAGCTTGTAGAACAAAGTTTACATTAGAAGTCTATTATGCTGTTATTTATTTGTCCATTGCAGGGTGGACATTTGTGTCAGCAGACTCAGCATTAATTTGTTTAAAATGTTTTATTACTTAGTAGATACAAGTCAGTGAACATAATCTGTATGACGACTTTAAAAAACTTGAATGTGTTACTTTCATGAAACAAAGATACTTTGTTAATTTTTCAAATCCAAGGCACCAACAGGAATGACCCATAAACAGAATCATGTAAACTCGAGCAAACACAGTGTTGGGCATCTCCAGAACACTGTTACAAAAATTAACCATGGTAACCTCAGTTTCCGCCCTAAAACCATGTATTACAGTTATTGCTATTGCTGTAAAACATAATATAGTTATTACTGTAAAATATGATACATGAGACCCAGTAAGACGCTTTCTCTGACTGAAGGAAAAAACTTACCTGAGTAAACCAAAACGGCCACACAGAGCAAAATTTTGTAAATCCACATGTCGCTTTGGATAGTTGTATGTGACCCCCCCCCCAAAATACACAAGAGATGTCAGAAGTCTTGGCGTTTTCCTCCTTTGAATAAGGCTATTTGTCAGAGATAGTCTCTAAGTGGCTGCAGCTGACTCTCGCGGACAGTGAGCGAGCGCGCAGTGGACTGACTGAAGATGAGCGCGAGCTGAGAGACTCTACCTCACGCGCTCCCTCCCCTTTCCCTCAGCCCATTTAAAGTCGCCTCGCCACTGTCCATTCCGCCACATAATATTATCGCATTTCCTGATAGACACCGAGGCTGTTGAACCGATCCGGGAAGTAAAATCAATGCAAATTGTTTATATTTGTTGCCCGTCTAATTTATTGGAGCGGATGGAAAGTGTTGAGGAGATGTCAGCACAGCTGTGTGATGCTGACTAACCTCCCTGAGGGTATTCGCGAGGAAAGTTGTGAATTGATCAACTCTGGGCCACTCACGTTGTTTTAGTTTGTAAGACGCAATGGCTTATTTTACATTTGGTTATCGACAACCCTTTTAGTCATGAACTCAGGCAAGACATTTTTAATCACGTTCACGTTATCATTCACAAACATGCTATAATTTTACTGTATAAAAATCTACCATGCCAATCTTAGTTTATGACAAAATATTATAAATAATACAGTTTCCACAGTTCAGTGTACAGATACAACTGATTATTGATATTAGCCAAACTTTAAATAAATAAATATTCCCGCGCTTTTCTACTGCGTTTTTGTAGGACATAATGTAGGCTACTGAATAAATGAATGAATAAATGAATAAGCAATAACAATAAATACCTGATTAGACAAAATGACAGTTTTGTTATTCATTATTGATATAGCCAAAGAAATATGCGTCAAATAGATAGATAGATAGATAGATAGATAGATAGATAGATAGATCACACACACACACACACACACACATACACACATGTAGGCCTATGTATGTATACACACACACACACACACACACACACATTTCTGTGCTTTTTATGGAACATAGATAGAAAGAGAGAAAGAAAGAAAGAAAGAAAGAAAGGAAGAAAAAGAAACTAACTTTAAAACTTTAAACCAACTAAATAAATACTACGGAACTGCATCAGAATTTGGTTATCATTCTAAATCTGAAGTAATTATACTCTATAATGTATTTATGTGATCCTTTCAGCTGTTATTCTTGCAATTTGTTTTATGGATTCATACCAGCAGGCAGCACATTAAAGTCCTACATCTGTGAAAATTCTCAGAACTACACAACATATGAAGTTTTACATTAGCAACTACTTTCTGTTGAGAGATGGAGCTCATCTACTCATTGTAATCAGAAGCTTACAATACTGATGTCACGATGAACATAACTCATCTTCCCATGCCACTTATTTCAGATGGAAGAGAGGGATGAGAGCCGGTTGGAAGCACGAGTTGTTTATTAAACAGCACTACACTCAAGATGCTCTCCTCTTCTCTTGGAACAGAAAGAGCTCTTCTATTGTGCTCCGTGATGGAAATACTCTCCATCTGTTTATTTGTGGTGCGTTCATTTTTAAACAGGTATTCCAGGCTGTTTTGCTTGGATGGATTTGAGCTTTTCATGTTTGGATATCAATTTTTCACTCAGTTTGGCATGTCTGTGTATGGCTGGTTGTTTAAGCGCGCTGTGTTTGTATTAGTTTAGTTAATAGCAGTAGTGTTTGAATGTCCTCCGTGACTCTGTGATCGTATTGCTTCTCCTTCCTCTGATGATGGAGGTACAAACTACAAATGCCAAACGACATGCCTGACGGCCTCATGGGAGCAATCAGTCACTGTGTGCGTGTTTCTAACACTGTTTCCAGCAGTGTCATTCCACATCCTGTCCTTACATCTCTCCACACCTCTGGGTGAATCTCACAACATATCCAGATTACATTTCACCCATAGAATTAACAGAAAAAAAACACACAATTATATTTTGCATAATGACAATGAAGACTATTTTAGGGTCATTAAGCTTTTTTTTTTTTTACGTTTTGATAACATTTTCAAGACAATTAAACACATTTCACCACAAAATTGTCATTACAGAATGTGTCAGGACATTTATTTTTTTTCAATTACTCCCCACTTATTAGGTGATCCTTTTCATATTTCCACTATTTACTGTCATTTAATAATAAATGTAATAATTAAATACTGCAATATAATTATATATACACATTCAAAAGGCTAAAGTCAATAAATATTTGTAATAAATAAATAATAAAGATGATAAAGATGCATTGAATTGATCAAAAGTGACAATAAAACTGTTACGGGACGGACGAGACGTGAGGCGTGAGGATCCATGTGCAAGCTTTTATTAAGAGACATGGTTTTAACAGGCATAGGTCAGACAATGGCAAACAGGTATATTGATGGCAAGGCAAGAGGGGTAATCCAGGTACAAGGCAAAGGTCCAGGCAGGGGCGAACAGTATCCAATTGTGCGAGACTCGAGGGATAATCCAGGTACACAGGCAGTGATCAGAACACGGGGAAACAGACAAGGCAAGATGATGAAAACAAGGAAAAACAAGACACTAGGCTCGGTAAGGCAGCTAACACTAGGGGAGTGGAAAATGCAGAACAATACACGAGACTAAAACAAAACACGGAATGGCTCGGTAAGGCAGCTAACACTAGGGGAGTG